AGATGGATTCCACCGTCCCTTGGATCTTCATGGTGGTAGCGCTGCCATTTATGCTAATCAAGCAATGGATCAATGGGGTGCAGATGAAGACAGCAAGCCAATGGCTTGCGGAAGGCGATCGTGAGGCGAGGAGGCTGGCAGGCCTACCTAGGAAAAATGGCTCGAAGAAGAGCCAGTAAACATGCCATTGAAAGACGAGATAGCAGCTCTCACCGCGTCACGCAGTTGTGTCTGCCTACGTAGTCCGTGTGAACTGGCTCAGCATTGAGGTTCGTCCGTGGTATGGAAAATCTTCTGCCAATGCCAATTTGCTCAGCAAGGCGCGGGTACCCCAATGGCCTCATACAGTGGTCTAAAGTGTACCGATCACTGTGCATTTCCTACACCTTCTTCCATTAGCGATCTTGTAGTCACTGGCGATTTTGGCTTTTTGCCCCTGGCACCATAGTCTTTTCACTTTTCATTTCCAGAGTTCTGACCGCACACTTGCGCTTCATTTGCACTTCTTATTTATGCCTTTCGTTTACATATTGTAACTCTTATAGATCGTGCTGCGGCACAATATTCGAACGAGCTTCGATGGCCTCATCCATAATAATCAACTACAGAAACGAAACAAGGAAAAACATATGTAAGAGCACTTTTCACTTTTGCTGTGATATGAAAGGAGCATAGTATTTGCGCAAGGGCTTGTGCCCAGACACAATGTATCGTTGAAGAAGGTCATAAAAGGTGATAGGGAACAGAGCCCCAGATATCTCAAGAGAGAAAAGAACAAAACAAGGCCGCATCATTGAAAACACCACTAACATCCCAAGCCTCTTCCTGTCATGGCGATGCAAGGATGTCGAGTACCCTTGGTCCACGCCCGCCCCCTAACATGATCCGGCACCTACAAAGCCAAAACACCCGCAACCGCAACAGCAATACCCGCGCCCATAACTCCCACCGCACTATGCATACCGGCCGCACCGCCCGTCTCCTTGGCACCCGCGCCACCACTCGTTCCCGTCGGGCTACTGCCTCCGGACTGGGTCTCGGTCTCATTCCTCCTCTCACCCAAAATAGCCTGATCAATCAAACCCTGCACCTCCTTGTTGAAGCCATCATAGTAGGCCTTGACATCAGTCGGCAGCGCACTGTACCACACGGGCGTCGTAGAGAAGGTTTCCAGGGCGCCGATCTCGGTTACTTTGGGAGGAATCGAGTACGTGGCTGTTGCGACAAAGGAGGCTAGGCCCTTGTGTGCGGAGGCGGCACTCGAGACGGCGGCTGGGTCGCCGGTTAGGGAGGCGAGACCCGATGAGACTTGCGAGAGGATGGAGGATTTGTAGGCGGAGAGCTGGGTGGGGGGCGTTAGTTTGTTGATGTTATTTAGAGAGAAGGGGTGGGAGAGAAAGAACGTACGTCTGTGAGGACGTTGAGGTTGGTGGGGAGGGGAGTGGTTATGATGGCGAACTCGGCGACGGTGGTGGATGCAGTTGCCAGGATGGCGAGGATGAGAGATTTGGAGTACATCTTTCTTTTCGATGTCTTTTGTTTTTGTTGTTGTTGTTTTTTGCGTGGATTTGGGTTGTCTTCTTTACACGTAGAATTTCGTCTTTTAGACAATGTCGGTGATATGTCAAGGTTTCAAAAGCGAAAGTGAGGTGATTATATGTAAATATAGCAGTAGCAGCAGCAGCAGCAGCAGCAGCTGAGAAGCGGTTCAGCTGAGGTCCCACAAAAAAAAACCGTTTGCTCTCAGATGAGGGAAAGAACGAGTGATGAGTGAAAACCGTTCAAAAGTGAAAGTGATGGCAAGAATTTGGGGAAAGGGGGAACACCATATACGGGAAAGCGAGAAAGCGGGTTCAAGCGACTGCTTTAAGTAAAATTGTTTTCTGGGCGTAAGTACAATTCTGTGCATAGATATCAACTCGGCCCCCCGCTGCTGCGCGCGCCAACCAGTACGGCCCTGTGTTCCATCCTTTTACTCGAGACGCCTAGAATGGTGCGTGTGCGTGCGTACGTGGGGGGTGTGGAAGTGTGAGGCAGGGACTCAGCCACGCCCTAAGGGAAACACCAAGCGTATAGCAGTTATATATGGCAACAAATGCTGAGCAGTGCGGTATTTGTCAGCCGCCACGCCTTCGTAATTAAGTCGTGTTTCTTAGGGGATTATTATTCGGCATCTCCACAAGAAAACAAATGGAGGGGGGGGGATGGGAATTGCGGGAAAAAAGAAAAGGGAAAGCATGGGGAATGGGACATGAGGCTAGATGGGGGTTTGTGCTCAGACGTTGACTGTTGCATGCTGCAATCGATTGCTAGTAGTACGACCCACGGATAAACAACCCTCCCTTGAACGACACGCGTTCGGTGCGACAGATACACCTTGCTAGAGCAAGGCAGCCCTAGTCGACATCGACGATCACATTTACGTTTGATGTTCCTCGGAGGATTTTTTTCGTTTTACAGAAATAGGTGTTTTTCAGGAGGTGGGTGTGGGTAATTCTATTATTTCTTGTGGCGGTTCTGTTTCTGGATCTTGGACCGCATTAGCGTCGGCTCTATATGCGATAAGCCTTTTTGTGAAGAGATGGGCTGTGTTCTTCTAGGCCTCCCAATACATTCTCTCGTGACATTATCTTTATAAAGCAGACCCGAGTTCTCTCTCGCGGGTGCCCTTTTTTTGGTCATTTACTCAAATCTCGCGCACAGCGGTGTTGACTCCGGCGCGCTCATTGGCTGCCTTGTCCGTGGCAATTTCGCGTTCTTCGCTCGATGTCTCGCTTGCGGTCTCAGCCGTGTGGGAGAGGCTGGCTTTGCGCTCTTTCCAGCCCATGAAGAGGAAGCCGATGATGACGACGATCCAGTATACGTTGTAGGAAATGACAGAGCCGTAGGTTGCGCTGTTCTGCCAGCCGAGCAAGGAGTTGAAAATTCCCCAACTGTGAAGCGACGTTGTTAGCGAGGATATCGTATACGAAATGACATGTGCTTACCCGCCGCTACCGTTTTCTAGCGGAGAACAACACTGTGGCGCAATAGTCAGCCTAGGAATCCGAGGATAGACGAGGTCAAACCTTACGTTGACGTGCCAAACGCTTTTCCTGATATCATAGCTGCCAGGACCCGCACCGGCTTCAGCAACACCCTCTCCAGCGAGTTTGACCCATGCATCTTGCTCAAGACTCCAGACACCCTTGGAGAAGAGACCCGCAGCTACGAGATAGAGAAAGCACGTGGACACCACAAGGAAGATCTGTAGCGAAGTCTTGTTACCGCCTTTGTAGATGAGATAGCCGATCAAGGCGCCTGCACCTAGGCCGCAAATGACAGCGAGAGGAAAACTTGTCGCTGGAGCGCTGAGACTGACACCTGCGATGAATCTGGATACTAGTTTAGCTGGAGAAGACTTTATGGAGGTTGGGTTGCATCGACTTACAGCACTGCTTCGATGCCCTCACGAAGCACCGTTACAAACGGCAAGATGAACATGGCATACTTCTCCGTCCAGCGCTTCAGTTTACCTTTGACGGGTAGGTTGAGATCTTTCTGCTCCAACACTTTGGAAATCTTAGTCCTCCATTTATCCTGGAGCTTGCTGATGCGGAGCAAAGCTGCACCCATGAGGGTGATAATGACGCTAGCCACGATTCCAAAGACACCTTCCCAAATATTCTCAGCAGAGTCAAAAGTGTTCTTGCCCGCCGTGTAAAAGGTTGCTATCACGCCGGCGCAGATGATCAGGCATATGAATACGCCTGCTGCCACGCCGTACCAGACCTGGCGCACGAGCCGCTTATAGACAGCGGCATCTTGCGAGGGACCCAGAGTTTGCTTGAGGAATGCGAGGAGCACAGAAACAATAATGCTGGTTTCTAAACATTCGCGAAAGCAGATGAAGAAGACTGGTAGTACAAAGTTAGTATGAAGGGCGCTAGACGCACGCGGAGGGGCAGCTGTTGTGTTGTCTGCTCACGCACCTGGTACTGCAAAGACGTTAGGCATCTTGATAGCTGTCAAGCTCGCTCAACTGGCATTTGATCTAAAAATCAGATAAAAATTGAGGAGTTTAAGAAGACAGGATCTAATCAGATGTGAGGGGTGGGCGGCGCCTGCACTCAGCTTCCTCGTGCATGTGCATCCCGTCTCTGTACCATGCCGCTAGTGTAAAGCCGAGTTTCGGAATACCTATGCCCAATGACCCTGGCTTTCAATTAAGTTTGCGAGCCGAGGCGAGAGGGCGGCCCGATGACATGTTGTGAAAGTTTTTTCCCGTTGGTGTCACTGTTCTCAGAAGTTTTCGGTACGTGCCGGTGGTTCTGTTCAACCATCAATTTCACATTGTCTACGGAGTAAGTACAACAACCACACCACCCAACAGCTACCCCTACGAAACCCCTACACGCTTCAAAAATCGCCACAAGAATGATCTGCGGGATTCTCACGCCCAGCCACGCCAAATCAACTCAAGACTTTAATAGCGCAGGCTAAGGTGGGCTTGTTGATTCCTCGGCGCCTCTTGACCACATGGCTGGGCCGAAAGTGGTCCAGATTATCAGATGGTCCGATAACAGGCTGATCGGTATGACCCCGCAGCGAATCACGAGACGGGATGCTTGACGCAGGCCTGACATGATTGGATATGCGGCCCGTACATACCCCAGGCTTGACCAGAAGAGCATATATGCCCCGCTCTGTGTTGTTTGACCAGTGTCTTTTCACGCTGCAAACTTCCGGCAGATGATCTGATAACTCGGCGCTGAAACCATTGTGGCTTCAGTTAGTCGCCTGCAGCTGATGGCAAGGCATAATCTGATTTTCCAGTATCGGACCAGTCTGGTGCCATTTATCTGATGATCCCATTGCTCACACAATCAGACCTAGTCTTGTCTGATCATCCGCACACCTGAGCTGAGTACGTCGTGGTGTACTCCCGCTTGCTGTGGACCATCCAGTACAGCTTTGTAGCTGACTACTAGACGCTTCAATTCTTCACCTCGCCGCCCAACATGGCGATTTCCTTGTCAAATTTCCTCGTTTCACTGCTACTTCTCGGTTCGACTGCTCAGGCTGCGACTGTTACGTACGACTTCGATGTAGTATGGATATATGCGAATCCAGATGGACAGTACAATCGCCCAACCATTGGAATCAATGGACAATGGCCAATCCCAGCTATTGTAGCAACAAAAGGCGACCAGGTCATTGTCAACGTCAAGAACTCGCTGGGAAATGAGTCGACGAGTTTGCATTTTCACGGTTTGTTTATGAATGGCACGACGCACATGGACGGCGTGGTTGGAGGTACCCAGTGCGGGATCCCTCCAGGTAGCTCTTTTACGTATAATTTTACAGTATGTAATGGGTATTCAAGAGTAATCTATCTAGGCTAACAACTGCAGGTCAATCAACCAGGAACATATTGGTACCATAGTCATGAGCGTGGTCAGTATCCTGACGGTCTCCGTGGACCGCTCATCGTGCATGATCCAGAGAGTCCACACAAGGATCTTTATGATAAGGAAGTCGTCGTAACACTATCTGACTGGTAAAAAAACCTTCTGAAATGGGATCGTCGAACGGGAGTGACTAACCAAGTACGATCGTACTTGTAGGTACCACGATTCTATGCACAACCTTCTCGCAAGCTTCATCAACATTGCCAATCCCTCGGGCGCAGAACCCGTGCCTCAGGCAGCCCTACTCAACGACACCCAGAATCTGACTGTCAGCATCGAACCAGGCAAAACATATCTCTTCCGCATGGTCAACATGGGCGCTTTTGCCGCCCAATACGTTTGGTTCGAGGAGCACACCATGCGTGTTGTTGAAGTTGATGGCGTGTACACCGAGCCCATGGAAGCGGACATGATTTACCTAACTGCTGCTCAACGCTACAGTGTGCTCGTCACTGCCAAGAACGATACAAATTCCAACTTTGCCTTTGTCGGCAGTATGGACGAGGACCTGTTCGACACGGTGCCCAAAGGTCTGAACCCAAATGTCACGGGGTGGCTTGTATACGACGACAAAAAGGAGCTACCAGCTGCGAAGGACGTGGATGCTTTTGAGCCCTTTGACGATTTCAAACTCGTGCCGTGGGATAAGGAAGGAGCATTCGATCATGTCGACCAGTCCATCACTCTCGACGTCAAGATGGATGTCTTGAACGACGGAGCAAACTAGTAAGTCTTTCTCTCCCCCATATTCTAGATGTCAGATTACCTAACACATGTGCTCAGCGCCTTCTTCAACGACGTAACCTACGTTCGCCCCAAAGTCCCCACCCTCTACACCGTCCTCTCCACAGGCCCCAACGCCACCGACCCCATCATCTACGGCAGCAACACCAATGCCTTCATCCTCGCCCAAAACCAAGTCGTAGAAATCATCCTCAACAACATGGACCCCGGAAAGTACGTCCTTCCTCCCCCCTCCCCTCGCTAAAAATAAAAACATCTAACAACACAAAAAGACACCCCTTCCACCTCCACGGCCACACCTTCCAAGTCCTCCTCCGCAGCGACGCAGAAGCCGGCTCCTACAACACATCTTCCTCACCGCTTTCCCCCCAGCAAAACCCCATGCCCATGCGCCGCGACACCATTCTCGTCCGCCCAAACGGCCACCTCGTCCTACGCTTCCGCTCCGACAACCCGGGCGTCTGGCTCTTCCACTGCCACATCGAATGGCACGTCGCCTCCGGTCTCACCGCCACCATCATCGAAGCCCCACTATCCGTCCAAAGCCAACTCGACGGTAAAATACCCCAGGATCACTGGGATGTGTGTCGTGCTGCAAGCGTCCCGACGCAGGGGAATGCCGCGGGGAATACGCGCAATCTGGAGGATTTGAGGGGCGAGAATAGGAGTCCTGGGAGGTTGCCGGAGGGTTTTACCGGAGGCGGGATTGCGGCGTTGGTGATGAGTGTGGTTAGTGCGTTTTTGGGTATTGGGGTTATTGGATGGTATGGTATGAAGCCTGTTGGGGGTTAGGTGATGAGGGGTTTTGATTTGTTGTATAGTAAAGGGAATGGGAAAAGGAAAAGGGATTCCCTAGATGGAAGTGCTTGATTTGAGGAAAAAAAGGAAAAAAAGGAAATGTATCCAATCCTTCTCTTATGTTGATTTTGAAAGTAAAAGATCTTTTTTTTTCTTTAAAGAAAATAATAGTCGAATATGATATACTCCATGTTTCGGGTGTATAGCGGAAATCACTCCTCGTCCCAGTAATAACTCCACATATCCGTGCCAAACAGTCCATCTGCATAACTCTTTCCCTTGGTCGTACCGGCGGCTCCTGCACAAACAATCAGTGGCAAAAAGTGCTCAGCGCCGCCATTCGGATGCGTAGTGTACGCGTGCGGCCATTTCCTCCACTGGAGAAACTTCTCCTCTCTCCTCGCATCGTCGTCCGTCATCGCAGCATCCGTAACGTACGTGCTCCACTCTGCAGTCTGCGCCTGGAGCGATGGAGTGGCGAGTTGGCGGAACAAGCGTAGGTTGTGGAAGGTAGCGAAGCCGGAACCGACGATAGCAATGTTTTGGCTGCGGAGAGTGGCCAAGGCGCGACCGATGGCGTAGGATTGCGCGACAGATTCGGAGGAGAGGACTGAGAGTTGGACTATGGGGGTTGAGGCGGAAGGATCGACGAGTTTCATTGGGACGAAGACGCCGTGGTCCCATGCTGTGTGGTTCGTTGATTAGTGTCCGTCCAACTCATGTACGAAAGACGGACGAGTGAGAATAGCTTACGTCTCTTGGGATCTTTTTCGCATTCGATACCTGCTTCGCTGAGTGCCTTGGCGACTTGATCTGCCACCTCTGGACTACCAGGCGCATCGTGCTTGATTTGGTAGGACTCGGGTGGGAAGCCATAGTAGTCGTACAGCAACTCGTGTTTGGAGCCGCTGGAGATGGTGACCTTTGTTGTAGACCAATGAGCTGTGACTAGTACGATTGCTTTGGGTGCGTCTGGCGTGCCCAGCTTGAGGATCTTGGGTACTCGTGTCTTGAGCGAGTTTGTAATGGCCGTATGGGATGGGTCACCGAGAAGCGGCATGGGGCCTCCGCCGTGGGAGACGGAAATCACAGGTGCAAGACGCGTCATGTTGCTAGCGTAGGATGATAGGGGATCTTGCTGTATGCCTTGGAGAGGATTGAACGTCGCGTTGCTAGAAGAAGAGGGCTGTTGCGCAGAGGTTCGTTGTATGCCAAGTAGGGTTGTGAGTAGGGAAGATGCGCGATGAAATGGTTTCATGTCAGCTGTGATAGGAGTGGTAGAAGCAGCTGAGGCTGATATATATGCAGTTCCGGACGAATCGAACGCATAGTGGCTTCGGCATTTATCGCACAGCGAACGAAGCGACTTGACAGCTCAGATGTGTGTTTGTAAGATGACTTGTGAGTGCGGAATCGGACCGCCGCTACTCCCTTGATGGCGCAATGTCACGTGTTGGGGTCACGTCAAGTATACACACAACATAGAGAGACCTAAGACAGTTACAGCATGGCACCCTTGTGGGAGGTCTATATTATCATCAAGGTCTATATTCGAGTGCATTAAGAAAATAGAGGGGAGATTCTACCAGGAACAGTAGGTAATGCCACTCTACGACTTTCTCGGTGAAGAAGACGCCAGACGCGTCACACCCTTTTATGCTCACTTCATCAGCGCCACAACGTCGATCCTGGCAATATGCATTTCTGCTACCTTATGTTGCTGAACAGGAGTCGATTTGGTCTAGCTGGATTTCGTCTTTGGACTCACAACAGGGGAAGAGGTGGATCGAGTGCCAAAAACGTCAGCGACGCCATTCCCCGTGCCGTCTTGCCACATTTCTGCACTTGCAGAAAAAGCCCGTCTCACTTCTCTATCCGCCTCTTTCTGAGTGTTGTTCGACAAGGGTTTTGGCTGTGTGTTGACATAGTTGTTGCCACTGCTGCTTTCTTTTTGCCTAGACATGTTTCGAGGCTCGGGGCCTAGCCATGTCGCCATGTGATCGTTTTGTATTGCTGACATTGTCCGTATGTCTTCGCGCAGGTCTTGCTGATTTTTGGAATGTGGGTATATCTGGAGGAGAGATATGAGGAGCAATGTGTTCTCGATCAAACGGTGGATATTTACATTTGACTGGACATCTGTGCCAGAAAATTCTCGCACATGGTCGACGACTTTTCTGTTGAGGAATTCTTCGCTCTGAGGAGGAACTATGAGATTCGAGACCGTTGAAGGTGGAAACTGATAGTACGGAGCGTATGGTACTGGAAAGCTCGGCCGGATATGTTGATATGCTAATGTCTGCATTGGAAGAGGATGGTGCGTCGGGAAAGGAACGCCAAATGGGCTCTGTACCGAAAAAGCATTCACATTGGAGTGTGGCGCCGAAACCGTCCTTGAATTCACCCTTCGGTAGATGTCGTGACTTTGGTGATTGTTTCGCGTGCTTTTGTTAAAAGACAGATTCGTGAATCCCAGACCTCGAGCGCCGTAACTGTATAAATCCTTGCGCCTGTTCTCGATAGAATTATGGGGCTCCGATGGTTGCTCATCTCGATTTTTCCGTTTCGGTTCATGTATTGTTGGACGGGGAGGTGACGAGCCCTCGTTGACAACAATCGGGTCGTGGCAGCTACCACTCATGCTGGCAAAAGGCTTCGGAGCTAGTCTTCGCAGAGCAGAAGAAAGGGCTCTATTAGGAAGGGTGGGTGAGAGATCCTTTGTTCTGGGCGTTTCTGTGGTTGCAACTGTCGACGTGTGATTGGTGATTGGTGAAGTGAGACTGATATCATGATCACTGGTATTTCCAGAGAGTACCGTTGAAGGTGGAGTGCTGGGTGATTCCGGGATCTCTACTGAGGTTTTTGCCTTTTTTCTACGAGGCTCTTGAACATGGATGGTATCACTAGTCTGTTCAGTGACTTTGGGCTTATTAGTACCGGCAACTATGCGGTTTGCATTTGCGGTGCTCCGCCGAGTGGAGACCATGTTGTGCCGAAGTTCGTCCAGACCACACAAACGGTATGAGATGAAACTAAGATTATCTCTCTCAATCTGTTTCTGGAACTATCGTAGTAAGCACCGCCTGGCTGGGCTAGGTTGTTTCGCGCGTTATGTTTTAATGTTTCCTTGCCAGTGAGCAGATGTAACTTTCAGACAAGAAATTAGAGAGAACAGAAAAGAGAAGGATGATCGTGTCTCATAAACAGAGTTGTGGTGTTGCCTATGTGTGTATAGAAGGCGCGGGGTGTATAGGAAAGGACATTCATTACAAGAGGAAGGCGCAACTAGCATATGAACAGCAATAGTGGAGACAAACATATAGCGGATACTTCGGGCCAGAGAGATGTGGAAGGTCAAAAAGCCTCCTTGAGCAAAATTAGTGCCGAAATAAAGAAACATGGAAGTGTAGAGAAGAAAGCATACCACGATTCTTTCACTCTCACTTCTCTGATGTAGTCCGAAATAACCTTCCCACTCAATCAGTACCCAAAAACGCACGAAGCTTGACTAATTCTTCCTGATCGCGAAGCTCGCTGACAACACGATTGATAGCTCCATCGTCCCACGCGATACCGTGCCAGAGCAAAACGCCCATATCTCGCATCGTCCTTACTTCATCTTCACGTGCTTTCAGACCCGGTGCAGCTGCGAACAAGTACTCCCAGAACGCCTCTCGGAGCCGTGCGGCTCCTTCGAAGTAGACCCATGCAGATTTTTTGCTGGAAGAATCTCGTTCGTAATACCCTAGCAGATGCTCAAGCCCATACAGACACGTCCCAAAAGGCAAGAACTCTGCTTCAGCCCAATCGACCAGGCCAGTCATCTCCCACCGATCCCCATCGACGAGAATGTTGGATGGTATGAGATCCCCGTGATTTAGAATGACAGGGTAGTCTGTCATGTTTTGTATGGCTGAGAGTGTCTTCCCTGCTCTTCTTCTCAAGTATGTGTCAGGTAGTTCTGCAGCCAGTTTCTCGAGTCGATAGATAATGCTTGAGCCGACTTTGCCGCGACACTGTGAGAGTATGTCTGGTGTATCTTCCATTGGCGAGTCAGCTCGCGTGGCTCTGAGTGTTGGTAATGTTTGCGCTTTCGACGCGCCCTGCCAGCCTTGTGCGATGAATTTGGCAAAGCTCAAGACTAACGTCTCCAGTCGAGCTTGCTCTTTTGTAGTCAAGGTACGTGCGTGCGGCATCAGACGACTGAGAGATGTGCCGGGAATTCTGTCCATCTCGTAAGCCTTCAGGCCTTCAGGTAGCTCTACGTCCAGAAGTGCGACGGTTGGCGCCAGCGATGGATAGATCTTGGCTGCGACGTGCACAATGTCGAGATCAAGTGCGTGAGGCGCAGGTCGGAGTTGAACGATCAGCTCACTTCTTGTGCTGCGCCCTTCAAATTCCTCTGCCAGGTCCTTATCCACAATCGTGCTGTGCTCAGTGCCGCTCAAAGGCGCAACCAACAACGTGCAACTGCAATATCCCTGCTGTTCAAGCTCTTTCACCCTATACCCTATATATGCATTCTGTATAGCTCTCATACATGACTTTCCATCTTCGTTCCTTAGGTTGAAGCGACCCCAGAAGCCTTGAGATGCCATGATTACTTGGACGTAGTCGATATTGAGATGTAGACTTAAGAGGGATCCCAGCCATAGTGGACGATGAGTGCCGCGTAACTCATCCCGTGCTGCATTATTGATGACGGGTTGTCGCAAGCCTGTTCGCTACACATGTCCGAGTATGTGGCTGTATGGTGTGTCGTACTTTGCTGTGGTTCGCTGAGATGCCGCACGTGGCAGTCGGGCGTGGGAGGGATGAAGGTTAGACGGAGCGGGGGCGTGGTAGTATGCATCGGCTTGCCGTGTAAGCATGGCCGGGTGGAATCCTCCGCAAAAAGCGCAACTAATTACGCATAGAGCGCTCATGTTCAAGAACATTGAATATGAAGGCTGGTAGAGTACTAAATATAGTACATTCGTCTTATATTAATTGCTATATGCATTCGATCAATCGAACAAAAAAGAACGCCTCGCCAAATCTGAGTCTTTTTACCAAAGCCAGCTCAGTTATCAGAAGAATGGTATCATATGTGCCGCCAACTATCTCAAAATCCACCCGCAAAACTTCTACTCTGTTTACAATGAAGCAAAGGCAATGGCAACAAAAGCAGCAGCAACACTGATGAAGGATTGTGAGCCGAGACCAGAAGCGTTGCTGGTAGTAGTCTGGGGAGGTGAGGCACCGGTTCCGCTTCCGGCACCAGCACCGGCACCAGCACCGGCACCGTTTCCACCAGCAGCACCTCCTTGTCCATTGCCAGAGTTGGCGCCGTTTCCAGCAGATGGTGAGGTGGGTGTGTTGCCAGTGATGCCACCGGATCCAGCAGGTTGGCCAGGAGACAGGTTCTCCGATGCTTGAGCGGCAAGGGCAGTGAATGCTTGCATGGTCCTGTTACCGGCTGCGGGCCTATGTGATATAGTCAGTTTCGGTTTCAAAACATATTGAATTACAAAAGGGCAAGTGACTTACGCGTTGATGGCTCCAACCATACCATTCTGGCAATGCTGGCCCTGAGAACAGTAGAACCAGATGGGCCTCGTGTCGGGAACGCGAATAGTGTAAGTCAGAACCTGGTTTGTTGCGGTGAAGGAAGCGTTGGTGGGCATGAAACCAGAGAAGAAGGCGTCGGTCTTGTTGGGCATGACGTTTTGGATGGGTATGCAAGGGTTATCGAAGGTGGATTGGACGACGGAATGGTTCTGAGAATGATTAGCTCAAGGACACAACTAGGCGCAGAAACGGCGACTAGGCGTACCTTTGGGTGGAACTGGAATTGGACCATGTCGCCTGGCTGAGCCGCGACATTGTTTGGGTAAAAGGCCAAAGAGCCATTGGGTCCGCCGACCTGGATAACGTGCATTCTGAGCATTCCTCCTTGAGCGGCGGCGAAGCCGAAGATGGCCGAAACGATAGCTGTTGTTGAGAAGTACATATTGAAAGACTATGGCTGTTTTCTTTTTCTTTGGAAAGGCGACTCGGGTATTAAATGGACAATTGTGTTTGTAGTATTGGAAATCTCGTCAAGAGAGTGCAAAAGGCGACTAGCGCTCTGAAGTTCGTCAAGGTAACCGTTGGACTAGCCAACAGGTGTATTAGGAGATAAGGGTGAAAGACCGTGAGGTTTGGAGAAGAAAAGAAGATGCAAAGGAAACCCGCAACAAAGTAAGGAGAAAACGTGGGATGCAGGAGTGAAAAAGAGAAGCCTGAGGTGATGGTCCAGGGCCGTCTTAAGGCATGAAAGGTTTGCCATGCGTTGGCACGGCGGTTGTCAGGTTTTCCGATACATGGGGTTGGAGTTGCGACAGGTTGGAGGCGCAGAGTGCTTCAGCCTCTCGACTCGGCCCAAACCCTGCAAAATGAGGCTTAACATAAGGATCACTAAGGATAGCTCGCAATTGAGCCGACAAGACTGATTCTAATTGTTGTTGCGCCAAAAGAAATACATAGGGTTGAAGTAACCAGGCGCTAAGAAGATTGAGTTGTATGCACTTGGCGAGCCATTGTGTGGTGTAAACCATGTTGTGAAGCTGTTGTTCGAAGAGTTGGTGCCGGGGTGTGGGCGATGCGACACGCTCCACGTTCCGTCCGTGTTTGAGCCCTGTCGTGTTGTGCTTCAGGCTGCGCGTCGCAACGGCAATCATTAAACCGACTAGGCTAAGCAGCCGGAACTTCTGTTTGCGAGATTGCACCACAGCACTTGTTCTTGGCCATGTGGACAATGGCGTTGGAGAGGGTGTTGGGATTGAGGAAGTACGGCCAGGAAGTTTCAAACACGTCAAAATGTTGGATCCTTTATTCGCTTGCTGGTCGTTTCGGTCTTGTATCGACTCTACAGAGGGAGATGACTGCACATGACTGTAACTATTATTATGAATGCATGCCTTGGCCTGATGGCGTAGCCGCTGTCGGGCGGTGAATTGCGTGGTACTTCTAATGCGGCGACTCCATTTTCACTCCATATTTAGACGAGTTGCAGATCCGCGAGCGCTCCTTGTATCCAATGAATCCAAGCAAACCTCGTCGTAGAAGGAGCAAAAGGCTTCCGAGAGTATGCACATGTCCATGGGCAGGCCTTGGGCTACTCATGGCGATAACATCACAAACTCGCCATGGATGCTGATTTTGGCGATTCAAGTATGTTTTGTGCATATGTTGCGGGACCCAAATCGCGCAGGTCTTTGTAGCAAACCAGCCGGCTGCTCAAAAGTCGAGCACAAGCTGTGGTGCCAATTTCTCCAAGTCCTCGACTTGTAAGAAGCCATCGACAAGACCGCCGTTCTTGGCTGCCGTCTTTCTTTCGTCCTTGCTTCTCAAGAAGGCCTCTGTGACGAAGATGTCGATGTACTTGCCCACGAGCTTCATTGCACCCGTCTGTATCTGCATATCGGGATCATCAAAGTTTTCGAGGAGCAGACGCGCGAGCAGTGGCCGAGGTACGACGGGGTCGGACAAGGTCGTCTTGGCTGGCGGGGGCTTGGAGCGAGCTGGTGCAGTTGTAGGTACGACGTCTTCCATTATGGAATCGAAGTCGTCGCTATCAATCTGATCTATGAGTTCTTCAGGCGCGTCATCGTCAGACAGGTCGATGACGTCAGTTGCTGGCTGAAAGGCATTCTTTTTGTTTGCAGCGCCAGTTGCGCGGGATGCCGCCGGTGCAGGAGCGCGTCTTGCCGCGGCGGAGGAAGAGGCTTGGGGAGCGGCGTTGACAGGACGCGGGGGGTTGAAGGCAGGCCCTTTTCTTCGCGCAGCATTGGCTCCGGCAGTTTTTGGAGGCATGATGGATGTTGCTGAGGCCTCAATCAGGTCAGGGAAGAGGGGGTGGGCAGTGCGATGGCGCGTGTTGATGATGCGGCCAAAAGGCCGAGGCGATGGACACGCGCTCTCACGTGCACATCATCTGTATACTAAGCAGGCAACACTGGTAGTTATCGCGACGTCATTGATTATGTTAGGGAGACTACTACACAGCACTTGGACGGACATATTCCTGGTGACCTAAGTCAGTACATACAATTAGGCCGATATATTTGCATGGCGCTACTGGGTGTAAGAGTCAGCGGGAGGGGGGGGGGGGGGGGTTGATGTATTGTGCCGAAGCTGCCGACGTTGCCGCAATCCTGCATGTGGCTGTTGTGTTGTTGTACTTGGTACATGGACATACATACACAAGTTTGTGCGTGTAGTTTCTACCGTCGCGACATAGAGGGTACATGTGCGGGAACATGGGCTGATGGATGCAGTAAGGCGTACAAGAACATATACTTAGCACCAACCCCTGCGCTGCGACCAATCTGCTTTTGAAAGCTTGATCGCAAATCACGATTCCACCAAACGGGCCGCACGGTCGCGGCGTTCAACTCGTATTGGCGAAGCCGGTAAAGTTAAATGAACAGCTGCACGAGTGGTACAGGTGGCCAACATGGCACCATGGGAAAGTGCACGGTGCGACGAGGCGAGCAGCGGCGTGGCTTGGTGGGGAGAATGGGTGCAGAGGCGTGGTTTCAGAGAAACAAAGAAAGGCAGGCGTAGGCACAGGGCGGGTTGTACACTACATGGGATTGCATTGCAAAGGGCAGAGTCGCACAGCACTGGCAGCAGACGATTCAAAGGGTCCTGGGGTGCAGGGCGCCTGACACGTCGCACACAGATGGGCGTGTAACAGAGAGGGACGACTTGATTGATTTGCTTGTACGCTCTTGGTGGCTTAGCGCTGGCTTGTCTAGTTTTTTGGGCATGTCACTTTGGAGGGGCTGGAGGCGCAGATGGCCGTGGGCGGGCAGCGGGTGGATGCAGCGGCTCGCTATCTGCGGTGGGATGTCGGTGTAGGTGTGTGTAGGATTGGGTGTGGGATGCCTCTGTAGCTATTCATGGTATGCATGGCGAGCGAGTGGCGGACATGGTGCTGGAAGCGGAAGGGCAACAGGCTGAATGCGGCGTCTGGTGGGCTCTTGTGGGGCAGGGCAGACGACGTCGTGGCCTGGTGGCTGTCGAGGGGCAACCTCTGGGCATTGGAGTGTGGACGCCTCGACGTCTGGCCCTTTGGCTGTGGGCGACGTGGTCACGACGACGGCCATGCACACACACACACACACACACACAGCCTGGGCCGGGTGAGGTGGGGTAGCAGAACCGGCCCCCAATGCAGGTAGCCTCTCCTCTGCTCGTCTCGTCTCGTCTCGTCTCTTGTCTTCTCTCGACCTTCATTCTATGGTGCGTTGAACTAGCAGCCGCGCCGCCCAGCCCTTTGCGTGCGGGCAACTGGCGGTGCGTCGTCGTGCAGGCAAGACACCAAGACCAAGTACGAGCGAGCGTGTGTCGACATCCATCTCTCAGCCGTAGACGAGGGTGGCTTGGGCGCGGTGAGGGCAAAGCGCGGTGAAAGGAAGAGGGCATGTAAGTAAGTAGGTGTACACAGTAGGGCAGATTGGCATACACCTAGCGAGATTGTGGCTTGCTGAGAAGTTGCGGCCCTTTCGGTGCGTGCCCAGAGCCAAAAGGCTTCATGGGTCGTCATGGCGAGGCAGGATGCAGCGCACTGCCGGCGTCATCAGCCCAGTCCCAGTCCCAGTCCCAGTCCCAGTCCCAGACCAGATCGGACGGCTTACTCTTACATACAGACCTACTCTACCGCCTACAAACTAGCTCCCTCTTTGCTAATGCTCATCTCATGCTCACACACCCCCAGTCCCAACCCCAAAGCTTGCCGGCGCCAGGCCCGCGCACTGATGTTGCTCCAGACACCCCTGTCCACCTACCCGATAGTGTGGCATGCGGCGAGCCCGTCAACCCAGACGCCCACCCCAAGTAGGCCGTAGTATATCATACACTGGCTCGCCATAAATCTGCTCTTCTCACCCTCTCACTGCCGCCCCGGGCAACCTTGCTGTCTTTTTTTCTCTTCTTCTCTCTCTCTCTCCCTCCTTCACTTGCCCGCTGCCCGCCCTCGCCTTCACCTTCATCCACAGTCACTGCAGGGATCGCCCCATCACTGTCACCACTGACACGACTGACACTACTGGCACCACTACCACCGCCATCACCACTACCGTCACTGTCGTCAACAACCATTCCGACTCTTGGACCGCCATCTTCTCTATCGCACAGAAACTTAAAAAGACGAGCGTTTGCTGGCCGCCCCGCCCTCTTGCAGCCTTTATCTATCACTGGACCAATCCCGTCTATCTCCATTCTTGGCTGTCCACTCGCGGCTCCCCAGACAAACATTGCACCTGCCCATCTTCTCCCTCTCTGCCATGCCCCACTCAGCCAATAATTCCATTTCCAGCCAGACCAAGATGTCGCGGCCTTCATCCACTTCCACCCAATCCGCCACTGCGTTTCCCAAACAGGCTGGCGCCGCCCTCCTGTCTCCAGACAACAACAACAACAACGCCACCGCAGGCCCCCAGTCACCATCGGCTTCAAACTTCTCCTTTGCATCCTCGCCTCATTCCGTCATCGATGTTCCAGACAATTCGCATCAATACCCACGAGAGACGGCGCCTCATGCTCCGGGCTCCCTGCGACCCATGACCTCACGTGCCCGCGCACAGTTCTACGAGAGTCAGTTCGTCGACAGAGGCTCAAACACATCGTCTGCTCGCGATCGCGTCACCAAGGATGCCCCCATTGTAGCAGAGTTGCGGACCAATGTTATTGTATGTGCTCCTTTTCCCTATTTCCCTTCGGTTTGTTGGTACATGCACTAACCACCAATCCGGTGCAGATCAAAGATGAATACACCCTTGTCACTGACCTCTCGCACCACCTCTCCACGCGCTACCAAAGGCCCGAGACATCCATTATGATCACCGTCAACCATTCGGCATGCCTGCTTCTTGGGGGCTCTTTTGAGCCCACTTACGTCCTCACCATCAATGCCTTGCCCGTTCAAGTGCAGCCCACTACCAACAAGCGCAATGCCGCTTTGATCCAGACATTCATGGCCGAGTCCATTGGTGTTCCATCAGATCGAGGCATTATCAAATTCGTGCCCATTCCCGAAGACAGCCTGGCTATCAATGGCATGACCATCTTGGGCGAGATCGAACGGCTAGAGCGCCAGCACGCCGAAGAGAATGGTGGCAGCATTGTCAAGCGTGCCACGACCAAGAGCTCCCGCAAATCCGCCATGACCAAGGCCAAGAGTAGCATGCAGCTTTCTCGCGGCCTGTCAAAGGCAGAGCCAGTTCCAAAGCCAGTCACCGCCGCGGATGTTCCACGAGATGGTCCACTCGATTCTGCGGTAGCTATCAGTGACTCGAGCGTCGCCCAGAGGCCCGTAAGCAAGATGAGCAGCAAAAGCAAAATGAGCACCAAGAAGTCTGAGCCAATTCTTTCCGTTTTCGCCAAAAGCACAACCTTGCACACAAACCTGCCGCCGCCGCCACCCATCCCGGATGACAGGCCCATGACGCCAAGTATCAGCAAGCGTCACAGCTTCATGAAAGTTTTCCGACGATGAGCCATAATCGCCCACCCTTTCACACCGTTGTATACGCTGATCTCAGCATCTATCCATTTTTTTTTCTCTTTCATTTCGCACAGCACGCAAACGTTGCATACTGCGACCAAGATTGCATTGTAAGGCGTTTGGGATCAGACCTTTTGGATAGCAGCTTCATTACTCACCACACTGATATACCCTTTTTTTCATTTCCTTTGTTCAGAAGGCTCAAAAGAGCAGGGCGTCAAATAGAAACCCCAATGGCAAAAAAACATCTCAATTCACACATCATCCTGCATTGCGATTGTCATAGTGCTTATTCCAAATTACCGACGATGCATAGTTAGAATTCAGCCAAGATGAGGGGGCTCACAGAGTCTATCATTGCTTGCTGTGTTCCGTGGCATTTCGGTATAGTTGCGAATGCGAAATCTCAGCTCGGAAAGTCATTTCATGTAGCTCTCACTGTCGCTTTTCCTGCCCGATCCATCTATCTAAATATGAGAAATATGTGGTTGCCGCTAGACTAAGTACCGTAAACACACACTACCAACCGATTGTCCGTCAATTTTTTTTCCTGGTCTCAAGCAAGCGAGGCCTACGCTACGCTAAATACGTGAACCAGCCCATGGTCTTTCGGGTAACAAGCCTTGATCTCATACCGGCAGTTGGTTGACTCGGACGCGCCCACGCACGCGCCGTGTGGCGTTCAGCCTCACCGCGCAAGTCCGGACACGCAACTCACATACACACACGCCCAGCGATTGTTGTTTTACTATCTACTATTCTCCATGCACGGACTAGTTCTGCTCATCATCGCCATCTGTGTAGTCGCCCTTTGTCTTTCTTCTTCCTCTTTTGACATCTGAAACACGCTTTCTAGCTGTATATACTTTCACCGCTGTCACAAACTTTCTTTTGGAAAATAAATAAATAAGAAACAGCATAGGAAACAAGGGAACGTGAGGCACGACGGGAACACCAGTGTTTGACTCCAAGGACAAAGCTTCTTAACCGAGACATCGCGCTCGCTCGTAGCTAAAGGCAACATTGTCGCGTGGCATATCCATGATTCGCTAGGCTAGAATCATTTCACCTCCCCCCCCTTTTTTTTTCCTTTTTCCAAATTTGAGGAATTGTTGTAAGCGTTGGTGGGGTTATGAGTGGGCAGGGTTTTCAACGTGATGGGGCTAGGGAAAAAAATTCAATAGAACTGAAATAGACATGTCTTTTCTCTCTCAACGTACGCCAATTGCAGATGGCCGGCACAAGAATAGACGCTGTTAGTGCAGGGAAACGAGCTCCAATGTGAGTGGTGGGGATGAAGAGACCGAGAGAAGAAGAAAAGAAGTCACTGGACCATGCTTTTCGACTTCCAACGGCCTGACTGCTTTTTCAGAGGTTGTTTTCTTTTGTAGAGGGTATGGGGAACTGCATAAAGGCAAGACTGGGTATCGCTATCCTAATTGACAAAATTGATGCTGTGGTGAATATACATTCACATGTCAAATGTGAAGTATTTCTCTGTAATTTACCAGCGCCATCAATAAACTTCAGCCCCCAACAACCATAATTTGGACCCTTACTTAAGCCTCAGCAATTTCAGTAGTGCTGTTTGTTTTGTACCATTACCCTTGCAACAGCCACACTTTAACTAGTAGAACCTCTTCTTCCCGTGGCAACCACCCATACCCGAGCAAACCCCCCTTGCTCGCCTGAATAAAAGCAAAATACTAGAACGCTCAAAGCTTGTACACATCCATTGAAAGGTTAAACACACGGTGCGCAAAAAGAAACAAGCAGCGAGACTGGATGGTTGTATTTTACAACTAAATAGACAATATGGCCATACAATGCACATTCACATGTCGTTATCACATATAGAAGAAGAATCACTTGATTCCCTCTCCATCCAATGTGCTTGAAGAGAAAATACTAAAGCAGGAATAGATGCCGGAGATATGGTTGGTTCGTAACTTTTGGATTGGGAAGAGTCAAATGCAGGGTCACGGGAATCTAGTTCATCTCAACAAATACTACTGTCGATCTATTTACAGTGTCGATTAGCGGGGTAAATACAACATCACAACAATAACACATGGAAATCGGAGGAAAAGTAATATCATGCTAAAACATCAATTTTCTACACTCAAAGAATGACTCCAAACTAGACTGTTTTTTGTAAAAAAAAAAAAATAGAACTTACGCAAATCAAACAATACTATCCCGTTTAAACATACCCAACCAAAAAAAACTCCACAGCACACAAATACTCCTCCCTAAACCATACTCACCAACACTCCCCTCTCAATCAACCCACGCCCATCCCCCAGACATCCTCCCAACCACCTCATCCGTAAACTCCCGCAAACCCCCCAACCCCAAACTCCCTCTAACCTCACAATCCTCATCCACGCCCAACCTCACCATCCCCCACACCCCGACCACCAACCTCTCCCCTTTAGCCTCGACCAACTCCTCCACCGCCGCCTTATTCTCCCTAACCCTCACCTGGCACACCTCCTCCAACCCCTTCAACAAGCCCATTTTAACCCTGTGCCGCCGATTCCTCGGCACGCCCTGCATCGTCGCGTAGTAGTGTGCGAGCCACGCTGCGAGCGGGGGCCAGGTTGCCAGGTTGTTGGCCGGGTTGGCGAGGGAGCGCGCGAGGGTCGCGAGTTCGGTGGTGAAGTCTGAGAGGGGGAGGTGGGACCAGCGGCGCCGGAGTTTGAGGAGGCGAAGGGAGCGGATGTATTCTTGGGTGTAGAATGGGAGCATTGGGGTTGAGGGGTCGGGGGTCGTGGGGGAGGGGCAGTGGAGGAGGGTGGTGGTTTTGTAGAGGGAAGGCGGGAAGGGGTTTACGGTGGTTCTTTTTGTTGGTGGAGCGGGGTTTGTGGGGAGGGGGGAGGGAGGGGAAGGGGAGGGACAGCGGGGGTCGAGGAGGTGGGACCGTGGTGTGAGGACGGGTTTGGGGATGGATTGGACGAAGTTGAATGTGGGTTTGTAGAGGATTGGGGCGAAGGATGCGCTGGGGCCGGCTGGGTCGTCCCATTCGTAGAGTTTGATGCATTCGATGCATGCGCAGGGGACGTAGTCGGTGGGCTGGCAGTCGGGATCTAGGTATTTGGCTCGGAGATGCTCGTATTGCTCCTCTGAGATGTCATCAGTATCTTTGAGATCCTTGCCTTCGTCGCCTACCTGTGCTTCATCGTTGATTGGGACCCATTCATCCATGTCTGCCATGATTGTGTCTTCACATGCTTGCATTTCCTCTGGGGAGGCAAGGGTGAGTTCTTCCAGTGTATTCAAGAGAGGTTCATATTCCATCTCCATATCATCTGGAGGGTTACCTGGGAAGTTAGCAAAGCCGGCTCCTGTCAATGCCTGGTGCAGTCTCAATGACACCTCGTCATTGTCATAGCATTCCATCATAGTTCCTGCTAGCTGCATTCTGTATGTGTCGGTTCTGTTACGTCTTGTGTATGCTTTGCTATCAATCTGGTGACATTTATTGTTTGCTTGGGAAATTTCTATTTATCTCGAGTACGAGTGCACAGTGTTGCTTATCCGCAATAGCGATGTGAATGGTAAATTCTACCACATTTTTACAATGTGTAGTAGGTCACGGGTACACTTTTAACAGCTAAGTCCATACCAATGAAATGAGATATTGTGACCGATAAGTGCTATCAGATTGCAAGATCCTGGTCCATGTTAGATAGCTAGAAAACGACTATATAGTCGGCGTTGTATGTACATAAGACAAAGTTCTGGGGTTTGGCTCGATCAGTACACTGCGACTGAATTGCACGTCGAATGGCACTGCCCATGACCTTGCTGTATCGCACGTGAAATGATTTCGTATAGTATACTACAATGAGCACAAATAAGGTCTGGCCCCTTGTGGTGGTGGTGGTTGTCGTGCCGCGACCCTTGGTGGGACCTGGATGCATACTAGTGATGTCATGCCGCTGCACTAAGAGTTTTCACCCGCAGAGCCTCCCATCACTACACCCTAGTTGGACGATCGCGGACATCCAGACCGTATCAGAATATCATCCACATTAAGCATCTCATGATAATTGATGAACATGTTCTACGCTGCCCAGATGTTGTTCAATCACCCAAATCTTCAGCAGTTTTTTGGATTAGTAAATTGTCCACAAGACCACGATGCACTCAAGCAACCCAAGGTTTGCCGAGCGAATTCACTAGTTGCTTGAGAATTCGCGAACTCTTGAGCTTGAGACCCACTCGACCCATCTTTATCTTGAGCCGCATGTAGATCTGTTGTTGTTTCGTCTTCGGCTGCGTGCGTGCGTCCCTGTAGGAAGTGGAGCAAGAACATCACCACTAATTTTTCGCTGCACAGGCGAAGCTTGTCGTCAGATAGTTGGGGCCCACAGGGGTCTGTCGCCAAACAGCTCCAATGCAATGACAGGCTAGGGCCCACTGCTATACATACTCGTGCCATGTTGTCGTCGATGGCATACATGCGCCCGATCCCAACGTTAACTTTTAGGCCGATGTTCTGCGCTCTGCATCCTATCACGGAGAGACCCACGCTGACATACGCTCTGGCAATGAAGGAATACTCCTCTGTAACGAGTATGGAGACCAGACGTCATATCGAGAGTGGAGGCCAAATGTGGACTTTTGTTGGGTTCAAGAAGGGCCTTCGAATCTCAACCCACACACCCAGAGAGTCACTTCTCCAGCCTTTTCCTTCCAGCCAGCCTCGCGACCATGGGAATCGAGTCTCGGCACCCTTCTTCATCCACGCCAGCGGGCGCGCAGCCGTTTTCTGAAAAAGACACTGAGCAACACCGCCCGAGAATGTCGGCGGATATGAGCGACGGAGAAAAGTCGCAGGCAGACAATGTACCTGTTGACCCCCAGGGAAGACGACACCCATCCATGGCTCCCGGCCCAGATGGGAAGTGTGAGCTGCGAGAGTGGGAATGCTGGGACAAACTCGCATACTCGTGGCCAAAGTGGAAAAAGGCAATGTATCTGGCTTCCATTGCTGGAATTCAAATCTCCATGAACTTCAACACGTCAGTGTACCCTAGTGCCGTCAACCCCGTCTCAGAGCATTTCGGCATCAGCACGCAGGCAGCTCGAGTGGGACAGATGATTTATCTCGTCTTCTACTCGTTTGGATGTGAGCTGTGGGCGCCGTGGAGTGAAGAGTTTGGGCGATGGCCAATTCTGCAACTTAGCATGTTTCTCATCAATATTTGGGAGATTCCTTGCTCGGTGGCTCCGAACTTTGCTACCATTATTGTTTGCAGAGCTTTGGTAAGTTTTCTTGAATTGACGTCTCCTCTGTTCGATGCTGATACCATTAGGGTGGCCTCTCTACTGCTGGAGGCAGTGTCACACTTGGTCTTATTGCGGACATGTATGAGCCAGAAAACCAGCACTGGCCACTGTGCTTCATTGTACTGTCGTCGACCATCGGAACCAGTATCGGAGGCGTCATTGGCGGTCCCATCGAGCGCTGTGAGTCTACTGGTAGCAGCATTACAGAAAACATGCTAATGTTACATTGCAGACCTCTCATGGCAATGGAACTTCTGGATCCAACTCATCTTCGGCGTAACAGTACAAGCAGTTCACTTCTTCATGCCCGAAAGCCGAGCCACCATCCTCATCGACCGCGAAGCAAAGCGGCGCCGCGAAACAGGCGAAGACCCCAACATCTACGGCCCCAACGAGCTCAAGAAGCCGCGCATCTCCCTCAAAGAAGCCGGCAAAATCTGGCTCCGACCCTTTGAAATGTTCATTCGCGAACCCATTGTGCTCCTCCTCTCCCTCCTCTCCGGCTTCTCCGACGCCCTCATCTTCACCTTTCTCGAAGCCTTCAACGTCACCTTCCCCAACAACTTCGGCTTCGGAACCCTGCAGGTAGCCTGGGCCTTCATCCCCATCAACGCCTCCTACTTCTTCACCTACTTCCTCTACTGGCCCTGGTTCTGGCGCGACGACCACTTGCGTAAGAAAAACGGCCCAGACTGGATGACTCCGGAGCGCCGTCTCAAGCCACTCTTGCTACTCGCCTTATTCGAACCCATCGGCCTCTTTGGCTTCGCTTGGACTTGTAAGATTCATAACCCTCCCCCCCACTCCAACCCCTGGAACGTACACATTTGAAAATGGAAGAAAGAAGAAGAAGAAGAAGAAAAGCTAACAAGTGGCTGAAGGTATGGGCCCGCCTCAAACCCACTGGATCGCCCCAATGATCTTTTCCTTCCTCGTCGGCCTCGCAAACTTTGCGATTTACTACTCTTCCGTCGACTACATGATTGCAGCCTACGGTCCTTACTCTGCCTCTGCTACCGGCGGCAACGCATTTGCGCGCGACTTCCTCGCTGGCATCTCCGCCATGTATGCTACACCGCTGTACAATAACCTGGCGGATTCGTCGCCCCAGAGATCGCAGTATGCGACTACGCTGCTGGCGTGCCTGTCGTGTTTGATTGTCGTGCCGATTTACGTCTTCTATTGGAAGGGCCCGCAGATTCGCAAGGCGAGTAAGTTTGCGTCGATTTTGGCGGAGGATAGGAAGGCCGAGGGGGTGAGGCGGTTGAGTAAGGCTGATAATTTGCCTGCTTGAAAAAAACAAACAAACAAAGGTCGTGTTTGAATAAAGATTGTTCATTGGAGGTTCTGATTATAGATGGAGGGAAATATCGTCTTCTGGCATGTTGAATCATGATAAGCTAGAACACCATATTCTTCGCATCTCTTCACCGATGTAGGCACTACTACCAACCGAACCAAGAAAGAAAAAAAGGATGTGATTTTCATTATTCGGCCTTTTCGAGATGGTGGTGGGGGTGGGGTATGCAATTCAAAGAGAATCCAACAAAACAAAGAACATTTCGCGTCGTCAAATGAACCCAGTAGACACTCACAGGAAAAACGAACAAATTCCGCCGCCAATTGGTCAACCACGTCTAACCCGTTTCTTTCTCTCACTCTCGAATACCGAAAATAGCAAAGAAAAAAGAGAACAAAATATGCCCCAAAAGTATACATGTGTGTGTGTATGAGTAGTATATGTAAAAATATATAGCCCAAAGCAACTTTTGGCGCGCGTTTTGATCATTTCTCCCGAAAAGGGGGTAATAGATTTTTGTTTTACCTAAAGCGCGCTGTGCATCTGCCCATGACCTCGCCCTGGCAGACGAGCTCGGCGTTGAACTCCGAGCCGTCGAGAGTGAGGTAAATGTCAAAGTATACGCGGTAAAAAGTGCCTTGAGGGGTATCCATGCGTTCAAAGTCCTTTTCGAGGTTTTTCCGTGACAGGTCCGATGTCAATGTGACGACTTCCTTGATGCCTAATTTTCTATGTTAGAAATTTATTACTGTATTATTGAACTTTGCGGAGACTTACGAGGATCCTTGGTGTACTCTGGGCAGACATCGTCGTCACATGCATACAGTATATCCTCATACATGAGGGTTGCGCCTGGTGCCACCTGCCTGAAGAACGAGACCTTGACAGGCTCGCCAATCTTGACTCTTTGACCCTTTTGCACAAAGATCTGGCGTGTATACTTGCAACGGTCTTTGCCGTCGAGTGAAGGGACGCGGTATTGTTCTGGGTGGTGACCCTCTTTGAAGGGCTGAAGGGTGGCCATTAGGTAATGCCTACGTGCAACACGGTGTGTGACGATGCGCTCAGTGATACCGGCGGTAACGGCTCCCTTGACAATGGCGGCGACCGAGTCCATGGGTCGGACAACCTTGGACTGGAATTGCGGGGGGACGTGGAGCTTGATTTGTTGGAAGAGGTACTCAGAAGCACCGAAACCACCGACGACCAGGACATTCTATATCAGTTAGCATTGGAACGATCCCGCTCGAAATCGCATGTATTTACCTGTAATGACCTGTTCTGCGCCTGAATAGCAATGATTTGGTTCCTGACAAGCTCAAGAATTCGGTTCACCACAGGCTCAAAGCACTGCAGAATCTCCTCGTTGGTAAAAGTCATGTATCCTTCTTCGATGCCCGCTTCAGGGAACTCGGCCTCGATACCAACGTCAACAGCCCATTTCTGTCCGTTGTTACGGAAGTCGGCCTTTATCCTGTTCTCAAAGTCCATGATGCACTTGGCGTAGACCTTACCGGCAGTCTTTGAGCCATCTGGTAGCTTCATTTTCCTGATCTTCGCACGGAGAATGTTGCTAAAGTTGCGGTTGAGTGCTGTGGAACCGCATGAGTCACCAGAGCCTGCTGTGCACTCGGCGACGGAGAAGGGTTGCTCCTCTTCGACCTCGTAGGCGATCAAATCAACGGTACCACCACCACAATCGACGATGAGCACGGCGTCGTGTATCTTGAGGTTGAGCAGACCAGTCTTGGAGCAGAACATGGCAGCAGCCTCAGGTTCAGTAATGAGTGTCAATCTGTTGTCGTTTTCGTCGCGAAGGAAGCCT